AMAMMAMMAAAAAAACACAAGCAAACAGAACAAAACAAACATAAACAGACAACTACAACAAGCACACTTAAGWGCACATAACAACAACAATTCTTGCAGTTTGTGTGATCATGCAACCTTTGTTAGATGTCTTTTTTTATTTGATATGTCATTATTTTGTATTTCCTCTCGGTCTCATTTTAAAACGACTGCAATTATAATAATAATATAATAATCAGCACCAAGAATAATAGTGTGGCCTTATGAATTTCTTTTCTTTATGATTATAACTACTAATCTTTTTAGGATCGTAAAGACAAACTTCTTGAGAATTCGAGATGGTGACAGATTTTGGTATGAAAGTTTCCTGTCTTCAGAGGTAAGCCCAAGATAAAGAGAACTACATAATTGGAATCGCTGAAACGCTTTAGATATGCTGGAGTTGGGATAGTGGGTGTTTCAATGTTTTTCAAATATATGTGTGTTTATTTTCCGAGATGCAAACATTTCAATTGAAAGACTTGACCAGAGTCCAGGGAATATTCTTGAAATTCATAGTTTACATCCCGCAAAAGGTTGCGTTTTAGTGAGGTACGAAAATCATCAATGATCGAGCATAGAGAAAATCGTGTTTTGCATGGGTTGACTTCAAATGCTGATTAGTGAGGTACGAAAATCATCAATGATCGAGCATAGAGAAAATCGTGTTTTGCATGGGTTGACTTCAAATGCTGATAACTGCATGCACGATTTACTAAACACAACTAAAAAGCGCTATGTGATGTTTATTGAACGAGAGTGCGTATTTTATCGGGATATATAGATTCGAGCGGCAGACTTCTAGAACTCCTACATCCAGAAATTGTTATCATTTTAGAAAAAGCTCAGAAAAAATGCGAAAACAGTGATAATATTAAACTTCTAATGAGCATGTGCATTTTGCCACCAATGAAAGAATTTTGATTCCACACCGAAGAACGACTAGAGTAGATTGATTTAGACGGTACAACTTTTGCCTACAAATATCGCATCCAACATGCGTAAGTCATCCTTACAGTCCTTACAACATGGCTACAACTGTCGTAGAGACTAAACACAATTGTTTGATAACCCTACGACAATTGTAGCCATGTTGTAAGGAAGACTTACGCATGTTGCATGTAATGGTTGTAGGCAAAAGTTGCACCGTCTAAATCGGCCTTATGCACTTCATTTCAGGAAATCGAACTAGTTAACAGCCTCACGTTGGGGAAAATCATCAAACTGAACACCAAGTACAAGACAGCACCAGAYAATGTTTTCTTTTCAAAGCTTCATTGTGCAAAGGTGGTCAACTAYCAATGCAAACCTCATGCCAAGCAAACACAGAAGAACTCAGCCTACGAAACAAACAGATCGACTGGAAATGAATTTAAAGCCGTTATATATGGTTGTGCTGTGGTTTCTGTGTTAAGCTTAATCATTGCTGTGACATTTATTGTTTTATGGAAAAGAGAGCATACGAAACGATACAAGAACAAGGACAAAGAAATACAAATGGATTGTATTATCCATGAAAATAGCAATACAGGACCAAAACATAGTTGACAAACCACATGCGATTCGAAGATCATTCCTAAAAGTGTCTATTGCATGATGGTGCTTTAAAGTCTAAACCTAATACCTTTCTTACGCTTGCATTGCTTTCTTTAGTGTCTAGGTGATTATCATACTTTAATCCTATATTTAATAGACCTATTTCAAAAAAAAAAAAAAAACGTTGTCGGGGAGAACGGCGAACGGGGAATGTGGCAGGGAGAATGCACGACCGAAATGGACTATGGTTACACTGTCTTGATAAACAAAATTTACTTATTCGATTCACCTTGCATAGAAATGGAGACTGGATGGAGCCAATGTTTACCATAAACTACAGACTATCTTACAATATAATCAGTTTTAAGAAAAATCAATTAACACTTCGACCCATTGCCACTCTCGACGTTTTTCGAAATAGGTATATACGCCCTCATGAACAATGCCAGKTTTTTTAGCTTGTATGCATTCAAATCACAGGTTTTAGTGTATAACGTCATTTATTTTCTGTCAATGAATTATATTATGAATGTATGTACATTTTATTGAATTAGGGTTTTGCTTAAGTTTGGAAATACCAYTTAATAATATTTTGTTATCTATAGACCAAGTCCACACGATGACGTAACGTTTTTATGACATCAAATTCTTATGGATGACCGACAAAAAATTCTAACCGAGAGCGAACTGGGACCGACTTATGAAATTAGTCTACAAAATCTTTATTGCGGGATAAAAAAACATGCTCCAGTATTAGACCCGATTTCAAGCATGTATGTAATGTCAGGTGCTAGCGTTTTCTATATCAGTTCAGATCATTGTCGGAGATTCAAGTGACAAAAAAAAATGCGGATTACTCGTTTTCAGTTATCCCCATGAAATTCAAAAGACAAAATATTAACCGGCGGCCATGTTGGAGGAATGAACAATATAATAATAGATAGTAATAATAGATACTAATGAGAAATACTTTGTTGAAGTTCATCCCAGATGGTCGCTGTGAAGTATATYGCAAACGAAGAATACAAAGGTTTCCGTCATCGTGTGCACAAAGCCATAGTCTTTTTTATCTTTGAAACAAAGTGCACTTCAAAAAGTGCTATAGTTTTGCACACTTGTACGACATCCGTCCTTTTTACCTGCTAATTTCAATAAAGTTGTCATTGATTCAGGATAGGAAKCGCCAATCTCGTACCCGCACTTTTGCCATCTCAAATGCTAAATTATCAGYGATTTACCTGAAATTACATCATTATAAAACCTATTTTTGTTGACTTTTCTTTCTTGTTGTGGATGGTGAATTCCTAGCAGCTTTAAGATCGTTCACAGTTCTCCAAAGGTCTTCTAGGACTTTGGAAATATCTCGTAAACCATGCAAAGAACGAACACTTTCAATTAGGAATGCTAGATCTGACGTGACGAGCCTGTAAACAAATATAATCAAACATCCATTGGAAACATGAAAGTTTGAAAATCTACGAAATTMATCATTTGCCTTTGATTTTTTAATATTCATCGATGATGGTCGATTCTTCTGTAATGACGTATTGCTTTTTTTTGACCAAGTGCATCATGGTATAGATCAAAATATAAAGTTGTCGTTATTGTTGTTGCTGTTTGTCTCCAAACGGGCAACTCGTTTATGAGTTTCAAGAATAGGAGAATTCAATAATAACCTATTTGCAATACCCTTTTTCAGTTGCACTTAGGCCTCGATAGCAAGTTAATTATTCTTTTGAATTTGACAAATGAGACTATTCATATCAATGTTTGCATTGCTCACATTCCTACAAATTCAAAAGAATATTTAACATGTTGTCGAGGCCCAAGAGCAACTGAAAAGGTGTATTGGCATCATATATTTAACTTCTACAATGTTTCTCTATTCTCCAAAGGGATAATGAAAATACGCAGTGCTTTCTGGAAATTAAAATAAAGTTACCATGCAAACGTTCTATTTGGGTGCAAATAAACGCATAAAAATGAAGACATCTTACCCATGCTGAGGTCCACCATCGTTAATCACGTTCAGCTTTAGTAACTTTTCTGCTAAGCAGTTCTTAAATATTCTTCTGATTTCTTTAAATAATGTCTACAGGAGAGAATTATAAAAACTCAACATTCCAGTAATGTCACAATGTCCCMGTTGACTCAGATATATGTATAGAATAACAAGGTCCAGAAATGCATAAAAAAAGAAAAAAAAATCAGCCTCGATTAACTAAATCACAAAATATRATTATTATGTAGTCCGAGAGCATTTGCAACAGTTTGCTTTGTTTTACAAATGATTTTTTGACAAAAGTTGTGCTATGGTTGGTTAAAATCAAAGAAGKTGAMTTTTCGAATGTAAGAAAATCGCGCAAAGGTTCTCGGGTGCACATGGGTCTTTAAGTGGTTTTTGGTCTGTCCCAACTCGAAGGAAGCACAAAAGAAGCACTAACAACATTCATGCATGACATGTTGGGCTACTGGTGCAGTTTATCAAGGACCGCAGAGCCGACTAGGGGGGAAGGGGCAGGGGGCTAATAGTGTGAACAATGCATTTTTGCACAAATGGGCACCATTTGTGAACAACGCCTTAGTTTCTTAATACAAATTTCAATGAATATTGGTGAGGTGGAGAGCTATACAAGTCTCTCTCGTCTTTCTCAGAAGCTCTTGGAATGAACGCCATTCAGGAATTTCATTTATCGCTCGAGGCCGGGCTAAAAGACACTAACCTCTATCTGTTCTTGTGAGAATACTGTGGATAATGATTCGTGTAGCTTGACGACTTGTTTAACAATACTTCTCATAGCTTGTGATGGCATTGGGGGCTTGACTTCCCACTAAAAACAACAAAAACAAACTTAAATTTTGAAATTAAATGTAAGTGTAATGTACCCCACGCCAGAATATTGACTTAATTGTTCTTAAAAACTAAAACTTATACTGTATAGTGCACAGTGCATCCCAAGACAAACTTGTATTGTTTGTCATCATCGGTTTTTTGGTTTCTTCAGTGAGTACCGGAGTGAGTACCAGAGCACAGATTACGTAATAAACCCTTTAAGCGATCTCGTTTACGCTGTGTTAGCCTGAAAATGCGGTCTCGTGCTTCACTGATCTGCTCTCGAATTTTCCCAAACAAACGCCTCGGTTTTCATAAGCACTATGAAGTCACGGAAGAAATGTTTTATTTCTTAAAGTAATAAATTATTGTCTTCACTATAACAAGCTGTGAAAATGCAAGAGATCCGTGAGTATAGAAGACAATGGTAATAGTTTGAAATTTCACGAGCTTTATCTAAATTTCTGAATATTTTGCACAGAGCTTAGGCAAATACAGCGTAAAAGAGATAGCGAAACTCAACTATTCAATTAAAAAAAAACAACAACAACAAAAACAACTATGGGGTAGAAGCGAAACTAAACAAAGAAACCTAACCGTTCTACAAAGATCCCGGTACTCTCATAAAGTCCTTTATCATTACTGTTTTCACTCTTAGTGGCATTGTTTCAGAGTGAAAGTTGCGTATGCAATACAAACATTGGATAGGGAAAATAACAAAGCACTGTAAAACTGACCCGTGAAAGTGATGTATTAAACGCTTCCTCCATCAAACCAATGATTTTACTGTTAAGCTCCAACTGATGGTTTGTGTAGTCCTAAAAATCAAATAAAATATTTTAACTTTTATTTGTAACTAACACACAATCTACGAAAGTCCATCATTTTCCAAGAATACCTTTTGAATCTGGTCAAATTGTGATAATAAAATGTACTGTTTTGGTGGAAGTCGTCCTTCGAAGTGAGCTTTAAAGACCGGCAGATGCAAWGCAATGACCTGAAGACAYCTTGAAGCAAGAGCTGTAAAATATTTTGCAATGGTAACGCAGTTAGTACAGAAATCAAAGAATAGAAAATGATCTGCGATGTTTTGTTTTATTTGTATCAATGGGTTATTTGCACTAAAAGGTCTTGTTAAGACAATCCTTAAACTAAGCACTGATGTGCAAGCTACAATCTTGGACAGAATAGTGAGAAGATTAGGCAAATTTTGATCAAAACACGATGGGAATCATTGTTTCAGTAAAACGTTGTCTTTGTACTCCCCTTTCCCCCAAAACAATGTTGTTGGATAAAGCCAAGAATGTCATATCTCAAGATTACAACATTTACTAGAGGGGGTGGGGAGAGTCAAGAAAATGACAAATGTCAAGTTGCAGAAAAGGCTATTTTATGCGGCATTAAAAAAAATTCTCAAGCAATTTGGTCCAAGATTGTATCTTTAGAAATGGCTACTTCAAAAAAGCAAAAAATTTATCAGAAGAAGAGCGTACCTCAAAAAGGAAATAAATGTCTCGTAAATCGTTTAAATGGAAKTCTTAACAGGGTTCCCACTCATCTTTAAATAAAGTAAAATTCCCTAACTTTTCCCTGTCTTTTCCCTGACCAAAAACCCTTTTTAAATGACCATTGAAAAGATTATCTTTAGTCCTTTTATTCAAMAATGCAAAGGCTCTATCAAAGAGAACTGTTATGGGTAACAAAATCACTTTTTTGCAAAGACCAGGAAACATTCGGCAGAAATTTCCTGACTTTTCCCCGACTTTTTGATAAATTGTATTTTTCCCTGACCAAAATCAAAATTCCCTGACAATTCCCTGACCATGAAAAAAAATCAAATTTCACTGACTTTTCCCTGACCCTGGGAATCCTGCTTGGAGCCAAAAAAGTGAATGCTTAAATTTGGGTACGATAGATGTATTGCCCGAGCTGCAATTTTAACTTTTCTCTGAATAACCAATGCAGGCTTTTAAGATTTTATCAACTAACCTAAATGTTTAACTGTTATTGTTTTTAGACCAACTAGTTGAAGAGCACCAGCTCCTAGGACCAGTTGACATGTACGKGAATTAAATAGCTGTAAAACAAACAGGCATTCAAAAAATGATTAGACATTAAATGATATCATAGTCTTCTCTACCTCCCCACATTTCATCTCTCCTTTCATTTCATTTTAACCTTTCTTCCATTTCTCTCCTCCTTAATTTCTTAATCTCTTCCCTCCAGCCTTAACCGTTCAGCCCTGTGCTTCTTCCTTAAGTTCCATTCTAATCCGCTCTGGAGTCTGTGGGTTGACGCCCTTTCAATAGCCCTGTGWCTTCTGCATCTCCCCAACGGCCATACGTTTGTCAAAACACAGGAATCCCAAATCATATAGAGAAAATCGAAAAAGCGGAACGTTGAATATGGACGCGGCTATTTAAATCTAATCCCTCTACCCATTCCATTCCCCCTATCCATCTTTCATCTACAATTCATCCATTTTCCCTTCAACTACTCCAACATCCGCATTTCATTTGGCCTTAACTCCTTTTTATTTCTAGTACCATCTAACTTTGCCTTTCTTTCCTTTTCCRTTTCCCCATCTTTCCCATATTATATCTGGCTTTCTTAGTTTTCTCCCTTGCTCCCCTTCCACCACGCTCCTTCCTATTTTCTATCATCACTCATCTCTCTATCAATAGTCAAAGTATACCTTGAGAATTTCAAAGAGTTTGTTCATGATATCAGTAACGAGCATTGGTGTGTCATCCACACATTGACAGTATTCTACAATCATCTTGAGTAGCAGAAGAACGGTACTGTAGATAGATATTAGCAACAACATTATTACATAGATATTGGGTATAGGAAATTCTCTATTTTCCAATTCAAAGCGAATAACCGCTGCTTTATTTGACTGCAGATTCTCTTCCGCAAAAAAACTTGCAAACACAAATGAAAACACAAGAAAATGTGAGTCCGACGCTAAGGATAAACGCACTCGAACCACAGTTAAAAACGTTTAGTCTGTGTTTACTCACTAGAACTTCAGTAAGTTCTATCATTGCACAGTGTTCTATAATTGTCATCACATTAAAGAATCCCAACCAACCACAATACAGCGCGCGCTCGTGTTGTTTACATACGGGATACCACAACTAACTTCCTCAAGCATACAATAGATTATAGATTGATAGTACTTGTCTTGTGAGGTAGGTAGTTAAAGGTATTTCTGCCCAAGCTTAAGGATGGAAGAGGATTCGCGGTCACTTTAAGAAATCCTATGAATCCTCCATTTTCGTGTCTACCTAAAATGGCGCTTTKGCACGCAAGGTACGGCCGTTGGTTGTGATTCTTTATAAACTTAATACATAAAAATGTTCGATACTTACCCAACTACTACAAATTTTTCACCATTAATTATGAGTACTGTCGACGTAGAAACCTTAATTTCTTTACTTGACTGGTCTGTGTAAATACACAACAAAATTGTYGTTATAGTGACTGCTGTATCACTCAGRGCMWWRTCATCTCGTACTTACCAAGAGAAAATTTGGGATCTTTGCCTCTGGGATTGATTCCTAAAAAWAATGACGCATTAAATTACTTAATTTCATTCATTTACACTTCCCTTAAATGGCCAACTGGCATCTTTTATAAGCTTTTGTTTATATTCGAAAAAATATATATTGTAATTAAGCAAAAATATACTCATTACTATCCCTTTAAATCTGTATGAATGGACGAAAATGGACTTCACATGGATGATCAAATGGATATTTGAGGTTATGTCAAAAAAATAAATAAAATTACTGCACTGAATGTCGTTTGACCATGGAACATAATCTTTTTTGACTCACCCTTAACTCCATAGGTTTGAAATATTATTTTTATATTAGACACAATAGGTGACTTTACTTCTAAAGCGAACGGTATATGCTTACCATCTATCAGAGAATTTACGAGGGTTTGAAACTCAGCAGGAACATCAGCTTGCTTCCATCTCTCATTATCTAGAATTAAACTAAAGTACAAAGAAAATAATTGATTATTTTTAACCATTCCCATGCGATTCAAAAGATAAAAGACCGGCGGCCACGTTGGAGGAACGAATAATAGATACTAATGAGAAATCCTTTGTTGAAGTCCCTCCAAGATGGCCGCTACGACGTAACTTGAAAACGAAGAATATCAAAATGGATATCCACTCCTCTTTCATGGCTTTCTTGGCAACATCATAACAAATTCAATCAAGYAAAGCATTTAGCTTTAGWGCTACRATAGGCCTATTCATCGTGGACAGTGCTTGTCCCAATTTTCAGACCACTTAGAAATAAAATTCTTTGTTTTCCATCAGCACAGCGAAAGATTTTTGCTCCAAAGGTTCTAAAATGTGACATACTCAGCCGACATTATTGCTCCAAGCTGAGGAATCTATTGATTAGATTGGACAACATTATCTAATAGTTTTAATATCATTTTGAGTTACCCTAATTTGTTTCTTCTTTCTTCGTGGAATCTCTCTACAAACTTCTTGGCTTGTGAAAGTAATGTAGCTCGTAAACTGTGAGACTGACGGCCACAGATCCCCTCACAGTCCATAACATAACCTTCAACCATACGAGTCAAAGTGACAAATTCCACTGATGTCAAACTGTCGAGGTAACCAGCCTGCAAAGATAATGTAACGAATCTAAAAGGTACTGAATATCTCGCAATACACAGTCCAATTAATTAGCTACCTTCAACTTGAGAGGTAGCAAAGGGYGGTTCGMAGGGGAAGCGGTTCGGGSGGTAGCAGCTCCCTCCTATCATACTGTACCTGCAGTCAAATGAGCTTGTCATGAAAATATGTTTAATGCAAAAACGCGGCAAGAATCAGTCCACTTGATATTGTKTTTTGTGCCTGTTATGCCTTTTATGCACGTTAGACTCTTTCAAGTCAAAAAAAGTCTTCTCAGTCTTGTTCGTGTTGCAGTTCATTCATAAAGGCCATCGAACTCTAACTTTYTTTCGACTCTCGGTCTCCTGCCTCTTTTTCTTTCTCTCGTTTCTCCGATTCTTCCTCGCTTATTGGATACGCTGTTATCAATCTTACTTGGGTTTCTTTCGCCTATATTTATAGACCTGAGTTTCTGCTCATTATCACACGAACAAAGCCACTCCATGTAGAACTGAATCTAACTTTTATTTATTTTTGCATTATGGCGTAACTTTACTACAACTACCAGAGAGCCTTGCACATTTTCATTGTTATTCAGATTTTTAATCCCCTTGGAGATTAATAAAACAATTGGCACTAGTTGCATTACAAAAGAAAGTTGGCAAAGCATTCTGGTAGTTGTAGTAAATGACGCCATAATGCAAATCGGCAATTACTATTCCTATCCTTTTTATTGCAATCCTCGAGATATTCAGGTGTTAAAGGTACGGCCTTTACTATTCAARACGGAGTGCAAGAATTGTTTTATGGCATTCTAAACAACCAATGTATTTTAACTACAMAATTGTAGTATTAATACTCCAGTTTCCAGTTCTGGTTTGCTCTGTGTTATCCTCAAAACCAAGCAACATATATTCTTTTGTTTCATATGATAGCCCGAGAAAACGCATGGAATTAGGAATATCTTGYGCTCAAATGAGTCTAACACATTGCATAATTCTGGATTATTCTTGTTTTTAAGCTTTATTTTCATCATTGCTGTTATCTTSAAGTCKTTRTGTGTGTTTTAATGTCCTGTTTTTACCGACAGTTACACTGAAGGTATTGCCTTGTCTATAAGAAAGTATACAGCATTAACCCCTACCTTTGCTCTAATATTTATAAGTTTAGCACAGCGTACTTGAGCCATCTCACARGCTGCACATAGAAGCTCTTTGCTCTCTTGGGATATTTTATTGAACTCAGTATTGGTTATAAGGACATCAACATCACTGCAAAAATTTACACAAGAAAAATATACGTGACACTTCATCATATAAACCCCTTGCAGTTCATGGGAATGCAGCTGCAACTGGAGGACAAAACAATGGATTCTAGTTCCCAAGAGGATAAAAATCTTTTGTTTTGTCCTCCAGATGAAGCTGCTTTGACGTCACATGCAAGGGGTCTATTAACACATGAACCAACCAATCAACCATAACATTCAATGAATGAAATATGGGATTAAAAGAATTCCAAAATTAGTTAGTTGGCTCCCTTATTTTACATTTGTGTCAAGTTTATCTTTTTACACAACTGTTTCTTTAAGGCTGATTTACACGGTACGATTTGTCGTTCGTGACTTGTAGTATACGATTTTCCTACTACAAGTCGTAGGATTTTAAGCAGTGGTTCAAAATCCTACTAGAGCAGAGTCACTTGAACCATGAAATAGCAACTAAATACTTAGTAACTAATAGGCACTATTTCTTAGACACTATCACTGAACCAGAACAGTAAGAGATTACTTTTATTGTCTGTATTGTTATAGTGGTCTCTTTAGGTGTTGCTTATTGGATCAAATAAACTGTTCAGGTTCAGTGCTAACGACTATTAAGAACTAATAGTTCCTATTAGTTAGTACTTTTTAGTTTTTATTTCATGGTTCATGTGACTCTGCTCTACAAGTCGAAGGTTGCGTACGACTGTTGTAGAAAAGTAGTAGGGGCATTTGCACTGCGAGATTCAAGTCGTATACTACAAATCGCACGAGACAATCGTGCCGTGTAAATCAGCCTTTAGAAACACCGATGCAGCTCACACTGGTTTACCGCTTGTTTCCACCATTTTGAAACTTATTTTACTACAAGAATGCAGCTTCAYTCTATAAATTACAGAAACAAGCTCATTACCAGGTCAGTTGTAGATTCTCTGCTTCTTCTCTGATATTTTCCATGATTAAGTCATCRGGAGAACTTGACCGGCAGTTACCAGCAGCAATRGACAGCACCCCTACTATACTTTTGTGAAGTATCTTCATCCTTTGTAAGATTTCTAGTGCAGCATTGAATACTTTGTGTAGTATTTGTAGCCATTGTTGATAGTCTAGGCCTTTCATGATGTCAGCAATRGTTTGACTGATAGAAACAAGCAATACAATATAAATTTAGTTAGCATTTAATACAGTATTAATGAATATACTAAATGTACTCCATAACATTAAAGTGCATATGAACCATTTTAGAAAATCATTTTTAACAAAAGGCAAGTATGATRCTAATCATAGTTTTGAAGAAGAAAAAGGTTTTTTAAATTCTATTTTCTGAATTAAAGGCATTTGAAAATTAAACATGCTAATGATGTGAATTCAAGGGAGGCTTCATTAAATATACGAACTTTGAAGGAGTTGCTTAAAAATGGTATTATGGTATTTTAAAAGTTTATCGTAGGCAATGCAGGGAATAATCATATTCCCAGTTGGCGTTCATGAAAACACTTTTGAGCGACTCTTTGTTAATAATGATTTTCTAAAATGATTCATATGCACTTTAAATACCAAACTTACCTTTCTTCTTCATTTTCAGCTTGATCTGCTACTGCGCTGTAGACAGTCTATCAGAAAATAAACACACTGACTTCAACAGGTGGAGCACATTAACAGTATTTTCTACATACAATTTTCTTTCGCTAAATTCGTTAGGTGCAGTATTCAGCACATTATACAATCATGACGTGACTGTGTAAAATTACAGGACACGATAAGAGAACGCCTTTGAAATGCGGATCACAAATGCTAAGGTTAAGTACAATACAACTTGTGTTTAGCACATTTAAAGCTGCAATGATTTCATGCTTCAATTTATAAAAGGAAATAGTCCAATGAGCACTGCATTACATACAAGATATATTCTATATTGATGTTTGTACTCAATATCATATTGTCTCATACTGAAAGCTCAATAAAGCTCGATCCCAAATAATAGAAACACGCATGCAGCCATTGTAAGTAASTGTTACCTGTTTGATAGTAGTTTTWATTGTTGARTAAGCTTCATCACGATACAGATGGATAAAATGGAACTTGTGCTTGCGTAGAAGTCCAAACAGGACTGATACTAATCGATCCTGTGTGCAAACACAATAACCTTATTSTAAACTCCAACACCAAATTAAAGTCGCTGCTACACGTGCGATTTTTCGCYTGCGCTGACGACGCGATTTTCGGGCCCGATGAARGCTGAACATCGAATTTTAGCTGTTTTTGTACATATACAGTACCTCTTTATGGAGATTCAAATAATCGATACAACATTGCCGTTCGTGTAGCCACATCGTGCGGTGGTAATTTTGAGAAAAATCGCGTCGCCTGCWCAAGCGAAAAATCGCTCGTGTAGCAGAGGTTAAAGCCCAACATGCATCTGATGATAATTGCAGTTGTTGATGGATCTTACCTCATCTACAAGATGCCCATTGTCTTCAACCTCTGTCAAAGGTCTGTTAAGGTTTGCTGTTAAGAATTCTATGAATTCGGCCTCCATCATCCTTTCAATGACTCTCTCCATCTCTGCCAGTTGGGACCCTAAATGTCTAAACAAGATGCTATTATCAGCCTAACTATATTATATAACAGGGCTCTAACAACCAGACATATGCAGGACAAGATGTCYTTCCAAATTCATTTTTGGAAGATCATGCCTAGTTTTGAAAAGGCAAAAACTTTATTAAACAGTTATTTTCTTTTAATTCATAGGTTTTTGTATTCAGAAAGATCGACAAGCATTTTAATGGATGTAAAATATTTTTTATGGGAATTGGGAATTGATTTGTCTAAAAATGTGGCAGATCAATCTGTCCTTTCAAAAGCCGATTTGGCCGGCCATCTAGCGAATTTGGAAGGACACTGTCCTTTGATCGGTCGTTATTTCGAGGCCTGTATAACCATGTGAGTTATGATAAAATAACCTCATATAGAAATAATGTAGTCCTCTAAACTATAAGTACTCCTCTATACTTAAACTGCCCAATCATAATGATATCCTTTGTGTTATACTGTAGTTCCCATGATCATTAAAATGTACCTAAAGCTTTGTACTCCAGCCAATTCTTGCTGAAGTACTTCTTGTGTAGTGGATATCAGGTCCAAAGCACCAACGAAGTCTGATGTAGACAGCAGTAGCTGTATGGTGGGTTGTGTTTGGTGAACAGTTGCCATCAGTTTTAGCTATTAAAGAATATACATGTAATTATATACAGTGTCACAACTGTGATTTATATAATGATACTTTTCTCTTGACTGATAACTGCAGTAAATTTCCAGAWTATGAGTTTAGCTGCCAACTAACTGCAGAAGTAATAAATTTGTGTATACATTAGAGACAGCAATTTCCATCTTGCAATGATAGTCCATTTATACCATATTAATCAAATATAAATAATAACAATAATTCTAATACATCTAATGATACCTTTTCATAGACAGATGCATATTTTGATCTCAGAGAAGAAATTCGTAACATCTCCAGATTACCAAAACACAACACTTCAGATACTTTTTTCACTTTTAACCTRAATATGAAAAATATTTTGATATGACAAACTGAAAGACGACAACCTTGAATTATACATGATAGTACTATGTGCAATCATTTTTAATTAAAGTAGTGGAAAAACCATTATGGAATAAATGGAGTTTTGGAGCTATCTAATTGTGGATTGATTAATAAATCATGTATGTGTCGCTTTCAGCTCGTGCTTCTTGACATTTCCTCGTGTGTTTCAAATGCCAAGTGTGCGTTTATCATAGTATAAACCACGGCTGAGCCTTATTTCTTTGTTAAATAGTCATGATAGGCCTAATTTGTTTTATATTTATTAAAATGTGACAAAACACAATCATAATATATACCATACAGTGTAATTGTACATGAGTGGAAATGAGATGAGTGGAACTATAGTTTTTAAATTCACACAAAACTAGATAATATTTAATTCATGATCACATGATCACATGTGTATAATACATGTATGGCGACCAAAGAAGCTAATTATCATATATTTTAATAATCATAACTTATACCTAAGATGTTTAATCTCAGTGATGGTTTGTCCAACGTGGTCTTGTAACTGGTCCTGTGATGCCATGGCACTAAAGAAGTCTTCAGATCTCAGTGATATCTGGTAAGCCAGGTTCATYTCTATGATGTCCAGATAGTGTGACAGCTGAAAGTACAAATAAATATTAGATAAATCACACCCGCACACTTTAACATTAATTGTACCATGTCTAAATTAGTACGGCCATATAATCATGTAGGGACTCTTACAGTCAATAGTTGTTGAGACAACAATTAAGGCACATGTACCAATGCAACTTGTTTTACGCACATGTACGTGTAGGGGCATCAATAGCAGTGAATCAAAATGAAACGAAACCAACATAGCTAAATATGCTAAAGACTCAGACTGGAATGAATTGTGCGGACTTGAAATCACATCCAGTCCTCATTGTCGGACTTATTAAACATTACTTCTAGAATTAAAGAAAATTATATATTGCACTAAACAATAGTTATGGGTGATAAGAAGCCTTTCATTTATTGGGGCAAAGAAGAGGAAGGGTGGGTACATGATGATGACAAATGCTGATAGCGCAACCTACAAACATGATACCCCCTACCCCGCTCCCCTCTATGTTTCAAGGTAGGTCTTTACCACACCCTTCACCCATGATTAGTGTAACTATAAATAGCCAACTCTACAGAACATAGCTCCAACACAAGAAACCCTAATTAGCTAGTGGACAATTTCAAAAATAAGTCAGCCCCCCCTCCCCACTGACATGTAAAGTGTATAATCCCAGTACACACTGTATGCCTTCAACCTGTAGCAATGTTATACCTTTTCTTGAAGCAGTTTAGCAGAGTTTCTGTGTGTATTTATAAGTCCAGCCCTGTCACGTTCTGCTTGTGATGAGTCAGCTGTGACTAGTGCCCAGGGYAAAACAGAGTTAAAAGTATCTGGATCTTCAAGGCTAAAATTTGCATTCATAAAAACCTGTAATTATATTACAAAAAAAGTATTTCACAAATCAATATAGTCCTGGATTTAGTACGCAAATGATGTTATGGTTTAGTTACGTTCAAATGGAGTGTGCAACTAAACAACAATATTTGTTTTGAGGCTGCACTTTGACGTAGAGGTTTGATACTCGGCAGAAGATTTGCACTGGAATTCAATACTGAGGCCCAAATCATTTTTTTTCATTGTTTGAATGGAAGACTTCTTGAAATAAGAAATATAATGTGATAAAATTTAAAGGGACATGGTCCACCAGCATCCCTTTCGAGCTTTTGTATATTGAAAATAGAAATACGTCGTAATATTTAAGCAAAA